CTAGTGTGGAGAAGAAAAGCGGTGCATAATTCGCATAGCTTCTAATGAGGAGCATGACCTCATGCTCCGAGGGGTGTTAACGAACAGAGCTTTCGATAAACTACTCGTGTTCGTGTTCGGTAAGTGTTCGTTTATTAAGGTAATAAACAAACATTAACAAACAAAATTTAGAGCTCGATTTAAAAACGAACGAGTCTGCACATTTGTAAGCTCATTTGCCAAGAGATTGTGAACAAGCTCGTTTGTGTTCGTTTAATAATGTTCGCGAACACGCTCGTTTAATACGTGTTCGTTTAATAATGTTCGCGAACAAGCTTATTTGTGTTCGTTTAATATTTGTTTGTATTCTATTTGTAGTTGTGTTACTTGTTTGATTATTTTTCGTGAACATATATTATTTCTTGTTCGCGAACGAATTGTAATCATGAACATATTCATATGTTTGGTTAGTAAGCATTCACGAACGTGTTTATGAACGTAAACGAAAATGTTCGTGAACGTGTTCGTTAATATTAACGAACATGTTCGTGAACGTGTTTGTTAATGTTAACAAACGAACATGAACACTAATGAATGCTTAACAAACGAACACGAACATGATTTTCAACTTAACTACGAATACAAACACCCTAAAAACCTTAAAAACCAACACGAACAACCTCCGTTCGTTTATTTTCGGTTTGTTAATAGCCCTATATATGCTCATCGCCCATGTTTTTTCATTTTTTTATTTTAAAAAAATATAATTATATTATATTATATTAATAAATTTATAATATTAATAAAAAATTATTAATTTGTTTAAATATCTATATTAATTATTATATTAAATATTTATAATTAAAAAATGATTATATAATTAATGAACTGTTTTTTTTTTTATATAAAATATATGCATGTCTATATATATCTTTTAACATTTTAATCATAAACATTTAATGTTACTAAATGCTATTCTAAATACGGGCTAAGATAATTCGCAAAGGTTGTTGCTATTTGCACCACCCTTTGACCAAATATAGTATAAAGTAGGGTGTTGCTATTTGCACCACCCTTTGGTCAAAAGTAGGTATAAAGTATCTTGAAATTGTAAAAAGGTGAAAATTTTCAATAATTACATAGGTGGTGTAAATAGCCAAATGGGGATTCATTTTGCTATTTACACCACCTTGGTCAAACCTCATTTATGAGGTGTAATTAATAATTTTTTAATTCAAAATTTAATTAAGAGAAAATGATACTTTTTTCCCCTAAGTTATATACTTATAGTACTTTTTACCCCTGAATTATTCATGTTAGCATATTAGCCCCTCAACTATTCTAAAAGTGACGATTCCCCCCCCCCCCCCCCCCCCCCTCCTTCGATATATTAAATTGACATTTTTACCCTTAAAGTAAATATTTTATTTATTTTTCTTCTCTAACAAATTATTGCGTATACGTAGGGATGACCACGGTTCGGTTCTAACTGAACCGGACACTATAGCAATCGAATTAAAAGTTTCCGGTTAAGGGAAAATTGTACACTTTTTCCCTCTGAGTTATATGATTATATCACTTTTTTTTTCTCTCAGTTATTTGTTCATCCACATTTGCTCCCTCAATTATATTAAAAGTGGCAGATTTTCTACATTTTATGTTAGGTGAACATTTTTACCCTTAAAACTAAATATTTCATTTATTTTTTCTTCTCCAACAAATTATTGTTAATATGTACGGATGATTATGGTTCGAAACAATTTTTTATTTTATTGCCAATTCAAAATTTATTTATTTATTTATTATAAATTCTATTTCTTATTTTTAAAATAATATAAATTCAATAATTATTTTATTTTATTTTATTTCATTTTTTCGGTTCTGAATCGTAAGTATAAGAAAATAAAGTTGTGTTGTGCCTTCACAATTAGTTAGATTTGTTCTATATTTTCTTAAACATTTTTAACCCTAAGAATCTAAGCTCCACTCCCAAGGTTCGGACCTATGACCATTTATTTGAAATGGTAATTGAAATGTCATCATATTACATGATAGTTGGCTTAATCATATTATATATAATTAGTATTGTCCCGTGCGATGCACGGACTAAATATTAAAAATTTGTTTGTAATGTTAGAATAGGTAAAAAAAATGTTTTTAATAATGGTATTTGAAGTACAGAAGAAGAAAACATGAACCACAGTTTAATTGTTTAAAATTACATTTTTATTAAGTATATGACAAAATAATTATGATATTGTATTTACAATATTTAATTTAATAATTGAAAATAGTATGAAAAAGTTACTATATATTATTAATCGCAACTAGCGGTATACATATTTAATCTTGAGTATGTTTACTCCTAGTATGCTACCCATGCGATGCACGGAATGAATATTGGACAACATTATAATAATATTATTTATTAAAAAATACATAACATTATCAACATAGTTGCAGAACCGAAAAAATAAAATACAAAAAAATAATTATTAATTTTTTTTAAATAAGAAATAAAATTTATAATCAATAAATAAATTTTGAACTGACAATAATAAATAAATAAATAATTGTTTGAACTGAACCGTGACCATCCGTACATATAAACAATAATTTGTTGGAGAAGAAAAAATAAATGAAATATTTAGTTTTAATGGTAAAAATGTCTATCAAATATAAAAGGAAGAAAACATGCCACTTTTAATATAACTAGGAGGCAAATGTGGATACATGAATAACTAAGAGGGAAAAAGTGTTAAAAGCATATACCTAAGGGGAAAAAGTGTCATCTATAATAAATATTTGTTAAAAAAATAATGTTTGACTAAAATTAATGAAGGTGGTGCAAATAGCAATTTTTCATTTACACCACCTAAAAGTTATCACAGCTATTAAATAGGTGGTGCAAATAGCAATTAGGGTGGTGCAAATAGAATTCCCCATAAAGTATCATTGAAAATGTAAAAAGGTGATAAATTATAATAAATATATGGGTGGTGCAAATAGCCTAATGGGTGGTCAAAATGCTATTTGCACCACCCTATTAAAACTGCATTTATGAGATCAAAATTTAATTCTTAAAAAAAAAAAATAAATGAAGAAGCAACCATCGCCTTCTCCGGTGAGAAGGCGACGGACTGCCTCCTCACCGGAAAAGGCAACTGGGCTGCCTTCTCCGGTGAGAAGGCAGCCACTCGCCTTCTCACAGGAGAAGGTGACGGAATTATTATTATTCTTTTTTTTTTAACTTTGCTGCCTTCTCCGGTGAGAAGGCAGCCTAGTGGGTCGCCTTCTCACCGGAGAAGGTGACGGGTGGGTTATCTTCTTCTTCTTCTTTTTTTTTTTTTTTTTTTTTAATTAATATTTTGAGGATAAAAAAATGGAATAATAAATATTAATATCTAACCACATTTAATGATGTTGACTTTTCTATTTGCACCACCTACAAAGTTATCATACCTATTAAATAGGGTGGTGTAAATAGCAAATAGGGATGTGCAAATAGAATTACCCTTCGCAAACCGTCGAGTGGCAAGCAACCGTCGATTACCATCACATCGATTGGAAAAACTGCCGCAAGATCAACATGCATGCATACGAGATATATGGTGATACTACCAAGCATACATAGTATTGTGGTTATTTAATTTGGTGAAAATATTTATTATGCTACTTATTATTATTATTATTATTATTATTATTATTATTATTAACTAAAAATTTGATGCACAGTAAAATGGTAATTATAAACTGACGACGGTGAATGAAAATACTACACATAATTAAAAGAAAATTAAAAGGTCAACATTGACCGAGCAAAATATAATCATTTTCTATTTTTTTTTTATGTGTGAATTCCATTTTTGGTCATACTCTTATAGGGGTCATTCCAAGTTTAGTTCACCATAATTATTTTTGTCCCATTGCGTCCACTATTATTGAAAGTGTTCCAATTTTAGTTGTTTAACCAAACATACACTTGTCTAGTTGGAAGAAACTCATGAACTTCGATCTTTCATCTCTCATATTATAACAAACTCAACCTTCATTTCTTTCCAACATCAAATCTTCATCGAGAAATTGACTGAGTATTCTTCAATTTAGACTTGAGAACCAAACCACATTAATCTTGATGAACTTTTGTTGCGACCGCAACAACAATGGAAAAAATCTTGCTGCTCCGATCAATTATTAGTAAACATAACAAATATGTCCTAATCAAATCTGAGAAATGTAGACGCAACTATCAAGTATTTGTAACTAGTCTTGACTTCAGCAAATAGTAACTCCAAAACCCACCACACAATTGACGTTAGATAGCCGATGTATGTTCTCATCACCATTGTTTCCTGTAAATTACCAAGCTTAACGAACAAACAACAAAAAGGTCCAAAGCACAAGCATATTAAGTACAGAGATCATAATAAATGTTAACTTAATTATGAACATGCATGCATAAATAAATATGCACATCGACTATGCACACACTCCATGACTGACATGCACACAATGAAATGCGCTAGAATCCACACGCACACGCGACACATTTGATTCGCACATGCCACATAGTTGATGCACACACCAAAAAAACATACGAATAATATATGCTCACGAACTACAACGTTGGTGCACACACACCTAAATACAAAAGTTAAAAGAATGCGAAAAGCACATACGAACACTATATATATACGCACGAACCACAAAATATCACTAACAGATATATGCCAAACCAAGAAAAAATATGCATTCTTGTTAAAAGATCTAGACCTCTAGGCTCTAGGTCCTCATCATAGTATCCAAGTACTCACTGCAAATTCATCCTAGTCAATTTAAGTTTGCACACACTTGGAGACAGAGTTATATTCAGGGACGAAGCCAGGATTTTTGTTGAGTGGGGGCGAAGAAGAAAAGACAACGTAAACTTGAAAATGTTCAAATACAAGGTTCAAATACAAAATATCAAATACGAATACAATTGTTAAAATCAAAATACATTATAAACTACCATACAAAGTTTATGATAAACTACGAGGTAATACTCCTCTACGCTCTCTCATATTTTGAAATCGCTGTAGAATTGCTTCATTTGAAACTAGATCAAAAATATCTTTTTCAACATACGGCACTAAGCAATCATGTAATAAATCATCACTCATCCGGTTGCGTAAAGATGTCTTGATTAACTTCATAGCAGAAAATGCTCTTTCCACACTAGCAGTTGCAACCGGTAGGATCAAAGACAATTTTAGAAGCAAATACACAAACGTATAGTCCAAATGTCTTCTCGTTTCCACCATTTTTTGAGCTAATTCATCAATACCACCCAATTTAGAGAAAGCAGGATCAGAACTGACATCAATAAAATAAGTCTGTAGTTGGTTATCTAGTACTTCAAGTTCAATATCAGAAAAATCATTTGGATAGAACTGTGCCAATCGAATTAACTTATCCTTATCAAACATAGCAAATGGATCCCTTGGATCAAAACATGCCACGCATAAGAGCAACTCTGTATTCTTCTCATTGAAACGGTTGTTTAGCTCTTGGAGTTGTAGATCTAAGTCTACACAAAACCGTTCAACACGATACCTATGAAGATGAGTCCTTTCTTCAACATTACGACGAGGTCTTCCAGGAACTACATAAACTTCATCCATATTAGGTATGGGAATTGCATGCTTGTTGCAAAATAGTGAAACTTCTTGTAAAAGAGCTTCCCACCCATCATCTCTCATCATTTGCAATCTTTGTTTTGAGACATCAACTAGTCTCATGGCATTCACAATGTTTTGATCTTTCTTCTGTAATGCCTGTGACAAGTCATTAGTAATTCCTAAAACATCCTTCATCAAGTGCAAAAAGAATACAAAATCAAAACATAGGACATTCTTCAATACTCGAAATGCTTCTAGCCTTTGTTTTGGATCTTGAATTATTTCGTCAAGAACATCAATCACGGGAGAAAATAATTTCAGAATGCTCACAAGTGCACCGTAATGAGATCCCCAACGTGTATCACCAGGCCGTTGTAAAACTGCTTCTTGATTCAAACCAATTCCCGTTTCAATTGTATCAGCAGAAATTGAATCAATCAACATCTTTAATTGTTTGTCTCGTAAGCTATCCCTGCGCTTACATGAAGCACATACAATATTGCACAATTGCGAGACAGTGACAAAAAAATCTCCAACATCATTATTTTCCTTTGCAACACCCACAAGTGCTAGTTGTAGTTGATGAGCAAAACAATGAACATAAAAAGCACTTGGATTCTCATTCTGTATTAAAGTCCTAAGACCATTGAACTCACCTCGCATATTACTTGCTCCATCATAGCCTTGGCCTCGTATTCTTGAAATACTTAATCCATGCCTTGTTAGAAGATCTTCAACGGCTACTTTAAGAGACATAGATGTAGTATCACGAACATGAGTAATTCCAAGAAGACGCTCAATAATATGCCCACTTGAATCCACATACCGAATAAACACAATCATCTGCTCTTTCACTGATATATCTCTTGACTCATCAACTATTATTGCAAATAATTCTCCACCAAGATCATTGATTATCATTTCAGTTGTCTCACTTGCAATTGCATTAACTATATCTTTTTGAATACAAGGAGAAGTCATTTGGTGATTTTCAGGTGCATTTCGCATCACTACTTTGGCAACATCTTCATTATTATCTGCAAGAAACTTTAAGACTTTAAGGAAGTTTCCCCGATTAAGAGAGTCGTAGCTTTCATCATTTCCACGAAAAGCAAGTCCTTGCCTTAAAAGTAACCGGATGCATTTAACTGATGAAGTCAATCGAACACAGTAGTCTTGTTTCGATTGCTCCGAGTGTTTTGATACACAAACTTGTAAGTGTTGCTCTTGAGTCATTAAATCTCGACAAGCTTGTACGTTCCTTGCGTGAACACTATTATGATTACCAACATGTGCACGCAACCTTTCCGGTCCTTTTTTCCAATTATTGAATCCTTCTGTAACAAATGACTCTCCCCCAGCTTGTTGTCCACTACTTTCATCTTTGAATAGATAACAACATAAACAATATGTTGCATCTTCTGATACACTATACTCCAACCAATTACTATGATCTTCAAACCATTTAGGATTAAATCTTCTATTAGCACCCGTAATCACTCTAGTAGGAAATACATGATTTTTTGGTTGACATGGACCCATTTATAGATATCGTCTCCGCACAATATCTCTATCATTGATATGATATTCATATATATTTTTCCTTTTACTCGGATCAACTTCAAGTTCATCTATGTTAACTTCAATACGGGGCCTTGTACTTGACACTTCGTGACTACTTTGACTAGATGAATCCCCAAAAGTTGATTTTCTTTTGAAAAATTTTTCCATAACTGAACCAAGATTTAGGAAAATTAGAACAAGAACAAAATTAGAAAAATTATTATACATTCTTAGCTTAAGCAAGTCTCACTACCTCAGAAAATTAGAAAAATAATCACTGCCTCACTAAGGATTAGGCATTAAGCATTAAGGATAAATTATGCAGATTCTCACTGCCTCACTTAGCAAGTTTAAAAGAATAAAAGCATTACCAATAACTCAATAAGACATTAAGCATTAAGGATAAATTAGATTCTCACTGCCTCACTTAGAAAGTCTAAAAGAATAAAAGCATTACCAATAACCAATAAGACATTAAGCATTAAGGATAAATTAATTATGCATTTTTAGCTTTCTACCATACTGCCCGCAAACTGCTCAAAGTATCAAACTCACATTCATAAATCAATAATGGAAGAGGGGAAGTTCATGTCAAAGAAATTAGCAAGGAAGCACTTTACCGCAAGATTGCTGGTAACGCCTTTGACACTCTCTCAATCAATGGAATTAGATCTGTAACACGGCCACACGCTTCTCGTACAGATCATGAAGACTTGTTATCTTGATTGGGCTTCCATTTCCTCCACCTTGGGAGCATCTAACACTATCAAAATAACTGTGTAATATCAATTACAATTAAATGCAGAACCCAAATAACTGTGTAATAGTAGTTGAGTACACATAGAAGCTGAACAGAAGCCAAAAGTGACTTGAACATGATCAGAGGGTCATAGTTTTTACAGCAAGGAAATTGAGAAAACAAGGGCAAACATTAAACAAATTTTAAAAAGCCAACTTTTCCCTTTCTCATGCTACAAGCCTACAACCAATAAAGAAATTAATTTTTACAGAAAAATAATCATCTTGACCGACTGGACGAACAACCAATCAATACTCAAAGCCTCTAACTCACATTCATAAATCAATTTGGGAAGAATAAACCAATAAATGATGATTGATAATTCATAAACAAATTCATATATTCAAGTATTCAAGTATTCTACAAAGCACATACATTAAATTGATTAAAATAAAATTAGAAGAATTAGGGCAAAAATACAAACCTGATTACTGATTACGGAGAGGATATGAGAGCCACGGTTGCCGCTTGGCCGGACGCCAGTGTTCCTGCTGACCGGAGGCGGTGAGCCGGACGCCGGTAGTCAAGGACGGAGAAGCACTAAGCGTTTAAGCAATTGTTAGAGTCGGTAGTTGTGGAGAGCCAGAGAAGCGACGCGAAGAGCTGCTATCTGAGGAACTGGAAAATAAGCAAAAAAAAAAATAATATATATAATACAGCCCAAAACGACGTCGTTTTGGGGCTGTATAATTTTTGGCAGTGGGGGCAGCTGCCCCCACTGCCCCCACGTTCCCTCCGTCCTTGGTTATATTCCCAAAAAGTACAGAAAGAACAACCAAAAGAATAATGCTAAGTCTTATAGAAAAATATACTATTGTAACATAATTCCTCTAAGAACTAGTAGTGCGAATTAACAAAAAATAAAGGATAACATGCAAAACTGCAAGTCCGTAAATACTAAACTAAAAATCAGCAATTTAATTAGCTCAAGTCCAAAAGCCTAAGCCCTCACAATCTCAATGGCAAATGATAGGCCCTCACAATCTCAATGGCAAATGATTTTGAAATTGAAGTAGTGATGAGTTAAGCTGATTAATTTGATTGACAATTTAAGTGTAGAACTCCACTTATCAAATGCATATATGCATGGTTATTGAAGCATGTGCTCCATCTCAACTAAAAGCCTAAGCTGATAGTTTGATTGCACGTTAATGGCTATATGCTCACACGCCCCCTCACGTGTACGGTGGATTCCAACCAACACGTGGACCGGTAAACCATTGTCGCTTACGAGTGGCGCTGAGATTCGAACCCATGACCTTTAGTCTGGCTCTGATACCAAATTGAAGCATGTGCTCCATCTCAACTAAAAGCCTAAGCTGATAGTTTGATTGCACGTTAATGGCTATATGCTCACAGTTAGTTCTGTGTTTCTGCCTAAATATATATATTTCATTCCCCTTTTGTCCTCTAATCTCGTTATGTCAACATGATGTTGAGGACAAGTGCAAAAGACATTAGTTTATTCTCTTTGCTCTTTTACTTGATTCCTCAGGAAACAGGCAGAAGAATGAATGGAGTGAGGAGGAGAACTTTTGTTTCAATAATTGGCAACACATGTTGAATAGGAGCTACAGCCTACAAGAGCAATGTGTTTTTGTGAGAAAGGCACAAAATACCCAAATTGTCATGTTGCAGAGTGTTGTGGCTTCTTTTTTTTTGAAAATCAAAGCTTATATTCCATCGAAATAACACGAGATACAACTCGGAGGGATTACATCCCAAGAACCAAGGACAGAAGAAGAACCAGTGGCCCGTGCAAGCACATGAGCTACGTTATTCGCTGACCTCTTGACATGGCGTACAACAACGTTCCCAATGCCATTTGCAATCACACGACATTGCTCAATAAAAGAACCAGCATACGAAAAATCATAACGGACATAATTAAAATGGTTTAGAAAATTTAAACAATTAGTTTCAATAATAATATGGTTACGGTTGCAACTCTTTAACCAGGCCAGCGCCTCTTTGACCGCCATTGTTTCTGCAAGATAAGGATCACAGACTGAAAGTAACATGACACCAATAGCGGATACAAACCTCCCCTCACGATCTCGTACATCCTCTTAGAAAAGCGCCGCGTCAACGTTGCATTTAAGAAAGCCAACCGGTGGTGGACACCAGATGGCCGAGACTGCCATTAGCGGATGCTGCTCAACCAGACATCCACGGATGACACTTAGCGACAAACGTGCGCAACAGGTGCTTCAACTCCTATTAGGAGACTATCATTAAAGAAGCTGAACTGCTGCTGCTCCTCATCAAAGGCTCCAGTCTTGCCACTTGGCAGCATCCAACACAATCTGTTATGGTTGTTAGTTAGCATCAGTTAGTTAGCTTAGTGTTAACTAATTTTCCCTCATTTCCTCTTTGTATATAAGTTGAGCATTTTTCTCTGTAAAGACTTGATGAATAATAAACCATTTTTCTTCACTCCAATCTCTCTCAACTCAATTTTGCAATATGGTATCAGAGCCCTCAAGGTATGAGCTTGATCCATTCGGCTACAATGGAGGCATGGCCCCCAATTAGTGTCAATCATATGACAAGCAGTTCAGGAGCGAATCAGATAGGGAATACAGCCGAACCAGCAAGGAATATGGCCGGACAAGCAGCTCCCTCACTGGCGAACGGATCAAATCCACCAGAGGTAACCTACGATCCCAACTCACAGTCCAATCCATATTATCTACACATTAATGAGAATCCAGCTTTGGAACTCGTTTCCATCCCTTTGGATGGATCGAACTATCACACATGGTCTAGAGCTCTGACCATGGCATTATCTTGTCAGAACAAGGTAGCTTTCATCAATGGAACCATCAAAAAGCCCTCTCAAGACAATCTGGAAAGATACTATAACTAGGAAAGGTGCGCAACAACATTGTGTGTACCTGGATCATCCGAACTCTGTCCCCAACAATTGGACGTAGTGTCTTGTGGATAGACACAGCTTATGGGATCTGGGATGATCTAAAGAGAAGATTCAGCCAACAGGACCTGTTTAGGGTTTCAGAGATTCTATGTGAAATCTACCAGACAAAGCAAGGTGATGACTCCTTGAATGAGTATTTCACAAAGAAAAAGTTGTTATGGGATGAGTTGTCTATACTCAGACCACCCAAGAACTGCACATGTGCTGAGAAATGTGAATGTGGAAAGAAGTTACATGAAATAAGTGAACAGGCAGAAAAGGACAAGTTGTCCATTTTCTTGATTGGTTTACATGAAAGGTATACAGCTGCCAGAAACCAAATCATGCTAATGAGACCTTTTCCTGATGCTAATGAAGCCTACTCTATGATTTCTCAACAAGAGAGGCAATTTCAGATGGCTGGAATTGGCTTTGGAAACCAGCTACATCAAGCAGGTGAAAACATCAATGTTGCAGGGAATACAGGGAATGTTTTCTTCACCAAGACAGATGGAGGCTTCCAACAAGGTTATAGGAAGCAACAGACATCTAACAAGAAGCCTGTATGCACCTATTGTGGCTATACTGGCCACACTCAAGACAAATGTTACAAAAAGCATGGCTATCCTCCAGGATGGAAGCCAAGGCCAAGAAACCGAAGCTCAGTAAATCAGGTTCAAGGAGCACCCCCCTTACAGCAATCTAATGAGGACCAAGGGTCATCCTTCACTCAGAATGACTTCAAGAGGTTCATGGAATTCATGCAAATGCAGAAGACAAGCTGCAATACACCCCTTGATCAAGCCCCACAAGTTTCTGCCAATACTGTGGCAGTTGAACTCCAAAGTGAAGGTATGATTTCACTTAACTCTGTTAAGTATGATAAGGCTAAATGGATTATAGATAGTGGTGCTACTCACCATGTTGTGAGTGACCTGAACTTGTTAAGCAATCAGAAGAAAGTTCAGAATCTGCATGTGACTGTGCCTAATGGCCAGCAGGCTGCTATCACCCTCACTGGGACTATTTACATATCTGATGAATTCATCTTTTACAATGTGCTATATGTGTCTGGCTTCCTATATAATCTGATCTCTATAGGAGCCTTCATTAAGGACTCCAGGGGTGCTATAGAAATACACTCTAATCAATGCATTATACAGGATGCTATCCATGGGAAAGTGATTGGAAAAGCTGAGCTGCAAGGAGGGTTGTACTACTTGTTTTTTCCTAATATTCCTGTATACAATTCTATTTCTATAT